TCACTGGTGCACAATCCTGAATTTTACTGAATTTACCTTAGTGTGGCAACTTCTTGCAATGAAAGCTGAAGAATATTGCAGAGGTGGTTTGGGTTCCTGATTCACAGAGGGATGTTGGAGAAGTCTTTGATCTTTGTGTGGAAGAGCAGTGTTTGTAAAAACATGTTCCTGCTTAACAGGTGTGAGTACAGATCTCGTATCAGGAGGAAAATTTCATTATATATACATGGCATGACAGTACATTGTTAAAATTAAAAATACTTCCTTAAACATATAGAACAGACTTTCCTGGACTGCATCAATGCAATTCTGTTATACCAGCTTTTCACTCTGAAAGCATTGCTACTAAAGGAAAACACTTTGGGTCTCATTTTCTAAATGTAGTTATGTCAAAATCTAAACAAATTTATTGTGATCTTTTTTCAAGCATATCAAACTATAGATTTTGTGTGTGTGTGTGGTTGGTTTGGCCATTTTTGACAATTCCAGTTGTCAGCTTTCACAACTTGGTGTTGTTGTTGCTAGAGTCCTTCTCAATCTTGTTGAAATTGAGTCACGGGATATGGCTAGCTTAGGAGTGAAAGGAACAGCTATGAAAATAGTGAGCCCTGCTTGGACTGTCTGTTCAAAACAGTCACACTGCAATTTGCAAACAGGAAGTATTATTTGTGATTTTTTTCTGCTAGACACAACAGCAAAGTTCTCCTCCCTGATTAGCACTTGAATAGTAAAGTAAGCGAAGTACGGACCTTTATGAAAATAAAAATTATCAGGTAAAAGAGACATGTCTTACAGTACCTTTTTTGCCACAAATTTCTGTGAATGAATGTACTAGAACAGCATTATTTTTCCAGTGTTGTTGTCTGCTACCTTTTGGTTTTTTAACACGGAAATACATCATTTGAGTGATCTGAACAGTTTGACTCCGTAACTTAAACGTTGAATAAGTATTGAGATGAAGCATGATGATGAATAAGTATTTTGAGATTAAGAAAATGTATGGAACTTCCTAGTAGATCTGAGAAGCCAGGCTGAGGGAGGTTGGGCTGTTACTGTTTAATTAAGATCTTTCATTTGTGTTACAACTGTTTTTATATTTCTTACTTGTGTAATCCCCACTTTTATTTTTACCAGCATAGTCCAGAAGATGCAAGTAGATAAAAAAAAAAAAATTGCTCAAGACAAATGATTTACAAAGAATAAGAGTCAGGATTGTGAAAAATGCATGTCTTTTATGATTGGCTTTTCGCAAATATTAAAATGAATATTATATGTGTTGTGTTAGAAAGCAATGCTGCATTAATTTTCTTAAGTACTGTGTTAAATATAGTTTTAGGTAATAAAAATTGTTAAAATAGAAACGATGCTATGTAAGATGCTTTGTTTAACAGAAAGGGCTCGCAGTGAGATAGCAGCCACAGGACACCTGAATCTTTCAGAGAAAGGGAATTTATTGCCCCATTATCGGAAGAAATGAACTTCTTCCTGCCTTGAAGGTGCTGCTAAGGTTAGAAGGAAGCAGCTGACACTGACCTGACAGAATCCTGTGTTTGAATGGAATTTATGCATCATGGATGAGGTGTATGAATGTGCAACAGGCTGTTGTTCTTAAGGATTAATCCTCTGTTAACGTGGGGCCTTTTTTTGGCTCATGCTGCCCAGAAAAGGTACCCGGACGTCCATAACTCTTTGCTCATAACTATTGTCTCATATTGTCTTAATTCAATTTGTCCAAATTGTTATTACTCTAATTGTGTTACTATTCTTTTTAACTATTTTATCACTATTAAACTTCTAAAAATTTTAAAAACAAGTCACTGCCGTTAACTCTGTCGGGCCGAGAGAAAACGTTCTAGATAAGAAATAACAAACAATAGCGAGGAGTGAAAATTCTTTTGTTTCTGTTTTGGCGGGCAGCTTGTCTGAAGGGCAACCTGCCAGGCCTCTGCCACCAAAGGGGGGGCCCCCACAACCCTTTAAGACCCCCGAGCTGTGCCCAGGAGAGCACTGGTACCTTCCTTCCGTGGGCAGGCTGCCAGCACGCTCAGCGAGAGGACCAGCGATTGCGAAGATTATTCCGCAACTTCTGCTCTAAAAAAAAAAAGATTCCTA